CATTTTATTTATTTATATGTGGTGCTGAGAATCGAACCCAGTGCCTCACACATGCCAGACAAGTGCACTACTGCTGAGCCACCGCCCCAGCCTTTAGAATATCTTTTTATGGATACGATGGCAAGAAAATAGCATTATATTAGGAAAATGAATAATGTGAGTCTTTGCCTTCAAAGAAAATATCATAGGCGGCTGCTTATTGCTTGGTCTCCCCCTGTGGGTGGCAGGTGTCTGGCACAGGCACACTTTCAAGATCAGAGTCAACCTGAGAGTTTTCCAGGGCCTGTGACTTCAGCCCAGTGGCTTGAAATAACAGAGATTACATGTGCTCACAGGTTCAGAGCCCGAAGTCCAAAATCAGGGGCCAGGCAGAGCTGGTCCTCTTAGGCTCTGGAGAGCACCACCCACACCTCCTTTGTCTTGGCTGGTGGAAACACCACCCCATTCCCCACCTTGGCTGACACATGCCTTTCCCTGTGCAGCTCTTCTCTGCTCAAGAACATACCAGTGCTTGGCCAGTCCAAGATAGCCTCGTCTCAATGTCCTTCCCTGAAAAGATCTATTTTCTAAATAGAGTCACACAGGTTAGGACTTAGATGTCTTTGGAGGAGTCATCATCCAAACTATTACAATCAGTTTATAAGATTCTGACTTCAAGAAGTCTCCCCTCTGTGTCAAACCCTAGGAGGGTAAAAAGATGACTTTCTTGTGCCCTGTGGACAGAACATGTTCCAAATGTCACAGCACCCCCAACCCCCAGCTATATTTAGGGGCCGTCGAGGAGGTGAGTCTGTGAGTGTGCATCCTGATCCTGTGGGACTGTCCTTGTAGGAAGCAGAAGAGGAAGAGCACTGTGGGGACACGGGAGACGGCGTGCCTGAAAACTGGGGGGAGGACACAGGGAATCAGCCCTCTGACACCCTCATCGGGGCCCCAGGCTCTGTTTCTGGTAGGAAGTATCTACTGTTCTTGAGAAATGGGGGCTACTCTCCCTGAAAGGGTCTGAGACACAGGAAGCAGTAGGCCCCGTGGGCAGGGTCAGGCCAGGCCCCAGGAGTGGGGGTGTTCACAGTGTAGGAGGCACGAGGTCAGCAGCACCCGGATCCAGTAGTAGTCACCACAGGACTGTTAGTGCCACCAGACTCACACAGACCCTGTCCCGTCTGGGGCACAATGGGATGTTCAGAGCAGGTGGGCAGAGGAGCAGAGGGAGAGAGCTGGCTTCTGTGGAGGGTGAACTGCCCACCCACATCAAGCTATCTTCTATAGACAGCTCAAGAAAAAAGAGAAATTTAAAAGTTCAGCTAATTCAGAGGTGAGTTTAGCCAGGGATTCTTTTCATTTCATACTCTTGCATTGTTTGCAAGAATGTTAATCTTGGTAATGTTTTTAATAGCAGCAAAAGTTTTATTTTTTATATATATTTTTTTATTTTTTACATATATATATATATTTTTTTTTAATTTGGTATTGAAGATTGAACCTGGAGGCATACACTGAGCCACATCCTCAGCCCTTTTTATTTTTTATTTTGAGATAGGGTCTTGCTGATTTGCTTAGGGCCTTGCTAAATTGCTGGGGTTGGGCTCGTACTTGCGGTCCTCCTGCCTTAGCCTCCTGAGCTGCTGAGATCTCAGGTGTTTGTAATGTATCTTACTTACCACAAGGAGTTGAGAACTGCTGCACTTAACTGGGCGCTGTACAAATCGGAGGTTCCCCCTCCTGTCATCTTCTACTCAGGTAGAGAGTGAAGGCAGTTTGGAGAGATGGCCCAAGCCGCATGTCACAGAATGGCCTTGAAGCCAAAGACCTGTTACCACCTTTTCAGGAAATGTCATCTGAGAAAACGCATGCTTCCTGAAATGTCACCGTTGGAACACTGTAGCCGTAGCCGAGGGAAATGTCAGGTCACATGGGGTGCAGTGAAGCACTGCTCACTCCTGGAAGTGGGCTACAGGAACGAGCTGCTGAGTGCTGAGCTCTGTGCTTCCCTTGGGAGCCGTCTGTTGATTCGTCTGCACTGGGGAAAGGTGTGCCCCATGGTTTATAGAACAACCCTGAAGTATTGTTGCTCTTGAGTGTGCTCCTAAGGAGAAGGTGAGGGCCTGTGGGTGCAGGAGGGGAAGCTGCCAGCTCAGGCATGCAGATGAACGTGCAACTGTCCTGGGGTTCTTGCAAGTGTGTGAACCTGTGTTGTCCACTCATGATATTGTGTGAGGTCCCATGGATCAGCCCTTCCTCCTGCCCAGCACACACCCTGGACGATCTGGACAGGACAAGTCAAGCATGCTGCCCCCTCCGATGTGGCAAGGTACACACTACCTATCGTTTACCCCTCAGCCACGTCTAGGCATTCAGTTCAGGGGCATGGCACAAGGACAGCCCACTGCTGTGCTCCTGTCACACCTCCACCTCCAGAGCCCTTCATCTCCCCAAACTGATACTCTGTGCCCACTAAACACCAACTCCTGTCCCTCCTTCAGCTCTCAGTGCCCCATCCTACCCTCTGCCTCGTGAGGTGGAAACAGATGGCGTCTGTCCTGTACTGGCTTGTCAGCCCAGCATAGTTGTAGCATGTCAGCATCCCCTTTTTTTGGTACTTAACCACTGAGCCACATCCCCAGCCCTCTGTCACTTTTTACGGCTGAGTCACAGTCCACTGTGTGGACTTGCCATCTTTTGTTTATTCAGTGTCTGTCAGTGGGCATGTGGATTGCTCCCAGGCTTGGATGTTGTGATCCTGCTGCTGTAAGTGAAGGAGTGCAGATTCGTGCAGATGAAATGTCACCCACCATGAAGGGACTTGCTGGGCCTCGTGGTAAATCTGCTGTTGTGTTTTCCATGACGGCTGCACCATTTAACATTCCTGCCAACAGTGCACAAGAATTTCAGTCTCTCCACATTCTTGCCAACAATTACTTTCTGTTTTTGGACAGTAGCCCTTCTGATGGATGTAAGGTAGTATCTAATTGTGATGCTGAACATTTTTTCATGTGTTTATTGGCCATTCATATTTCTTCTTTAGAAAAATATCTATTGAAGTCCTTTTCCTATTTTTTAATTGAGTTGTTGGGTTTTGTTTGTTGAAGCTTCCTTGGTTTTTTAAGCCAGGGTAGGTGATATTTATTGCTCATAAAGCTAAAGGCCATAAGAAGAGGAAGTGTTTGCTATGTGCATGCAAAGTGAACGACCTGTGCAACATTAAATACTGCCCTACTAGTATTTATACAATTGTAGGTTAATTTTAGAGGCATCATATTTCTTTCCCACTTTTACATTTTAGTTTACCTGACAGTACAACACCCACTCCCCAAAATCATGGCCTTTTACCCCTTGTTTTCAATACTTTATAAATATAGAAACTAAGAGTACTTTCTCCAGACTAGCTACTTCTCTTGGATATTACTGTGGGGCTCTGGGCCTAACCCCAAAGTCCTCTGAGCCCTGCCATGCCCACAGTGCCAAGGAAGTGCCCCTGCAGGGTCCACTAGTGTGGCAGCGGGGACCAGCAGGTGTAGCCCCAGGCTGATGGAAGGCAGATCACTGCAGGCAGCCAGGAGCAAGATGGATTTTTTTCCTCTGGGGAAGTGGCCTCCCACCTGTGGGCAGGTTAAATCTGGCTGTAGGATTTGTGCTGCCCTGTGCTGGGGGTACGAGGTGTGCCTCCCCTGGCGGGAGGCCTGGTCAGCCACCCTTTGCTGCCTCCTGCCTGTTTTTATGGCACTATTTCTGGAGAGCAGTGAATTTCTGCTTTTCCTCTGGTGTGTTTGTGACTTTAGCTGGAAAACCTTTTGTGGTTCAAAATTGTCTCCATTCAGTGTTTGAATCAGTGACACAAGCTAGCGTAGGATGAGGTGCAGGGGAGGCAGCGGGCAGGCGCACTGAGCGCACTCTGCCCAGGGCTGCCTGTGCTGACAGTGGTGAGCAGATTCAGGTGGCCGGCTCGGCTATTTGCATCTAAAGCCAACACTGGTGAGTGAAAGGGACTTCACAGTTCTCTCCTCGGGGAACACCAGAGGGCAAGTAGGCAATGTTGGGTTGGCTCTGAGTGCTTCCCTAGCCTCCACCTGCCAGCTCGTCCCCACAGTGCATCCTCTACACTTCCAGGCCAAGAATAGCCTCGGTGCTCAGTGTGTTGAAAATAAAAATCTCAAGCATCCTTAGTGCTGATGATGTGGATTGCAGTTTGTGTTTTTTTCTCACTACAGTGGAGAAACTTTCTAAAGAAAAGGTGTTCGCATTGCTTAGTTATTTATTGCCTTGTGGTTTTATTTCCTTATTTCATAAAAAAGGAGAAGTATTAGAAAATTTCAGAATATTTTAGTGGTTAAAATGTCTGTTTCTTCTGGTTTGGTTGGTGCTTATCAAGCAAATGTTCCACAGGCTGATTAGCCTCAGTTATGTCTTTAAGATGAGGGACGGCAGGGATGCTGACATTGCTAGATGTGTCAGGGTGCAGCTGACACATCTGTGGTCAGCAGATCAGGCACTACATGGCCACAAAAGTCATGGTTTTGTGTCTGGTCTCTGTTTTGATAGAGCATTTTGATGTCTCAAACTGCCTTGACTGAACGTCTCAGAACCCTTGGGAGATTCTAATGCATGTAACATTCTCGAAAGAACCCGGGCACATCCCTGATTTCTCAAAGTGAAAACAGAATATTAGACCTTACCCTTGTACATTGAAGCTCATGATTTATCTCTGATTTAACATGATTTTTATTTTGGTCTCTGAATTGCAAATCAGATATTTATTATGTGCTTTATAAAAAAAGCCAAGTAGAGGTCTCTCTGGGAAAATATTTTAATAAAATGTATCTTTAGGGGCTGGGGATGTGGCTCAAGCGGTAACGCGCTCGCCTGGCATGCGCGGGGCACTGGGTTCGATCCTTAGCACCACATAAAAATTTAAAAAATAACGATGTTGTGTTCCCCGAAAACTAAAAAATAAATATTAAAAAATTTTCTCTCTCTTTTAAAAAAACGTATCTTTATTTCAGTATGTTAAATAGTGAAGATGAAGAGATATTCAATAATGAAGAATGTGAATATGCGTCCAAAAAAAGGAAAAAGGACCATTTCAGAAATGACACAAATACTCAAAGTAAGATCATTTTCCTCAATACTACGATGTTCTACTTGTTGAGTATGTTGATATGCCTGATTGCTGTGGCTGTGCTACCTTTTAAAAATAAGCAGTGCTATGGGTATGTCAGCAAGCACTCTGTCCAGTGTTGCCTGCTGAGTTAGTGATCAGACGTTTTATATTTCAATCGTTTGAATTTTAAGATTCATACAAACAGAAGATGGCAAAACCCACAACGCTGCCCCACATGCTGAGGGTGGTCACAGTTCAGTTCATTCCTGAGCAGGGAAGCCGACAGAGAAGGGCAGGACTAGAAGTGGGAGGAGCTGGAGTTTGGGACATGGGATGCTGCACAGGTAGAAGGGCACAGGAAGGTGGGGCAGAAGCTCTCCTGACAGCATCCAGAGTAGTCTCTGACACCTTCCAGGTGTGAAGAAGGCGGTCAGGGGAGAGGCATCCAGGTGCAGAAGGGTGTTTGAATGTGTAGTTCCTAGTTATTTACGTTTTGATGTCACTGCAGCCATCACTAGCACTAGTTTTCTCTTCAGCTGCTAAGATGAGGGTCATCTGATGTCATTTCCACTGCGGTATCTCAGCATCCTCAGCCCATCAGGGAACAAGGCATTTCAGTTTCCCTTGCCCCACGTAAAGCATCTTTGTTCATATAATGCATCCAGTAACTTAGTTAGCATGTCCACTGTTGAGGCTCCTTTGAGATCTTCATCTTGAAATAACTTGCCATATTTTAAAAACAAAGTTAATTTTTATTTCAGGTTTTTATCGTGAAAAATGGATCTATGTCCATAAAGAAAGCACAAAAGAAGTAAGTATTTTTTATTATAAATAGGAGCCTATCCCACATAGCCTCTGTTGAATATGTAATGTCACCTTAAAGAAGTTATTGTTTTTGAATATCAGGTTTGTGATTCACATTCTGATAGGTGTGTATATGTGAGTAGCGTTTGAAGCGATGATTCACAGTTGTGTGCGTATGCATAGGTATGACTGTGGGTTGTGAATGTGTGCATGTGCACATGTGTGGATGTGTTTGTAGTGCATATTCTACCTGAATGTGTGTGTTCGTGTGTGCATATATGCATTGTGTGTTGTGTGTGTTTTGTCATGCATCTGATGTATGGGATGTGGGGTGTGTGTGTGTGTGTGTGTATGTGATGTGTGGTATGTGCATATGTATGGTATTTGTGGTATTTGCTCTGCTTATTTGTTACGTGTGCATGTGTGGTGTGTGTGTGTCTACGCACACACTGCATGATCCCCTGTACATCTCTGAACCCACAGTGGTTATTTCAGACCAGGTTGTGAGGTATATTCTGTTGGTGGGAGCCATGGCTACAGGTGAGGATGCTCCTTGCTCTGATGTGTGTGTGTTGGAGTGAGGGTGACCACTGAGCCCCTCATTTTGTGTGGAGACGGACTCCTATGGAATTGCTCTCGGTTGGAGCAGCAGAGCAGTTGGAATGCTTGCCAGCCTTTGATTTCCAGGTCAGCAAAGCTTCCTTAAGAGCCATGAAGCCCTCATTAGCTTCCAGCTCTGTTTCCTTTCTCTCTCCTTAGTGCCAAGGAAGCCTGGCCCTTATTTACCCCTCTCAAAACTTTGCATTTGCTTCCATTCACAGCAGTTGGGGAAAGTAATTCAGGGAGGAATTATTTACTACATAGTAAAAGTTAGGATAAGTTAAGTGTCCTGGAAGTGTTAACAGTGGATATCTTTAAACTAGCCCAGCAGCCTAGAAACTTGGGGATTAGATTCTGAGAAAGAAAACTATTGACCTATTTGGTGGTGGTGAGTATTGTTAAATGGGTATAACATGACTCTAGTTCTTAACACGTACTCTGGGACGCCATGGGAAGATTGACAGAATCTAACCTACTTTGTACAAAACAAGGTATGGAGCTTGTAAAAGACTATTCAGTATTTCACCTTCTCTGCGTTACTGCACAGATCGCAACTGGAATTTGTCTTCAGGCAACAGGGATGTCCAGGAGTCCTTGGTTAGTGTCTAATGAGCTTGGGACTGCCCAGGACTGGCACTGGGAACTAATGGGTCCTCACCCCCCACACACACACCTTCCTGCTTATACCTGGTATACACCCACATGGCCTGCAAAGGCAAGCACACTTGTGTGGTTCACTCTGAACCAGACCCATTCCTGTTGTGAGATGATAGCTGTCTGGAAGAGGTGTCTGCACCAACATTTAGAATTTCATTCATTCAAAAAAGAAGAAATTAAGACTAAGCTGGGATGTATCTGATGTATTAGGTTGCAGTCTGTATCTGTTTATTCTTTGCTTCACCATAAAATGGAAATGCGCTAGGAAAGCATTCTGCACAAGAGATGCTCAGTGGACATGTATGTTGACTGTTTCAGATAAGCGTGGGGTTGGTTTCTGCACACATTAGGACTATCCTTGGCTTGGACACAAAACCAGGAGTGCCGCCAAGGCCATATCTGAGACCAACAGACATTCTGCTACCCCAGCTTCCCCCAGTCCAGCCCCACTGGCCTGTTTGGAATCTGGGGAGTCATCTGTCACTTCTTATAGTTCCTATCATTGTCCTCCAGTTTACATGTCCCCACAACTCTAAATTAAAACCCTACTTATAGACATTAGGTATTTGAAACATAAAGGTGGAGTTCAGAAGCACTGCTGAGCCTCAAGTGAGTTCTGCAGACTGGGGAGTACAAGGTGCTCCATTAAGGGAGGTCTGCAGGGTAGGATAGTACTCTTCAGCTTCAGGTAGACCTTTGATCTCATTACCAGCTTTTTTGTTTTGGGTGCTGGGCACCAATACCCCTATCTTGGAAACTTGCCATCCTCAGATCCACCACGTGCCTTCAGACCTCTCACCCACAGCCAGGGGGCCCTCTGAGCCTTGCACCTTGTGATTGAGCCTCCTTGTGCATGATGTAGGAGTTTGGGACCCACCTTAACCATAGCACACTCCCAGCCCTGGGCAGTACAGACCTCCCTGCAGGGAAATCCTTCTCTAGCATGTGCAATGCCAGCACCCTTGGGTCTATTTGTATCTGCCCTACCTGTCCATAGCAAAAGAAGACAGCAAGGGGCTGGGACTGTGGCTCAGTGGTAGAGCGCTTGCCTAACAGTGTGAGGCACTGGGTTCGATTCTCATTACTGCATATAAATGAATAACATTTTTTAAAAATTTAAAAAAGAAGCCACTGAGGGATTCTGTAAATACATATGGAAGAAATCTTCTGTATGAAAGCAGATGTACTATGCATCAACTTTAAAACATGTCCACATGGCCTGGCAGCCATTGATTGTTGACTGTGCTGACCACTGACTAATCTCACTCCCCTGCTTTTCAGAGGCACGGCTACTGCACTCTAGGGGAGGCGTTCAACCGCCTGGACTTCTCCAGTGCCATCCAGGATATCCGGAGGTTTACATACGTGGTCAAAGTAAGTTTTCTACTTCAAAAATAGCTTTGATAAGTCTGGGACGCGGCTCAGTGGGAGAGCACTTGCCTAGCGTACACTAGGCCCTGGGTTCAATCTCAGTATTATAGAAAGAGAAAAAAAAAATGCTTTGATGATTCTTTCACACCTGTTTTGAAGATGATGAATATGAAGTACCCAAGATGCTTCTTGCAACTGCAGCAAGGTCTTCCCACTGGCTGTAGGAAGAAAAAGGCATATTCAGGAAGGAACACAGGAGTCAGGGACCTCCCTCCCGCAGGCTATCCCTGCCACCCTGGGCTCTGAGTTCCCAGGGGCCATACCTTAGCTTTAGTTACTGGGAAAGTAGGCTTTCTCCAGCACATCCTGCTATGCCTGCAGATGGGTCATGAGGCAGGACATCAGAGACGGTGTGTTTTGGTCAAGCCTCTAACCCTTCTTTGCTATGCATGATTGTATTTTCCCCTTTGGTCTTACTGTAGGTAGAGTTGGTCCCTCTTGTCTTCATTCAGACTTTTACAACCCTGGGAATCACTCCCCAGTCTTTTTAGCCCTGAGATCTCGTCCCTGTCTCCCAGTTTCTCTGTTCAGTAATGAGGCTGGAAACCTAGAAAGACACCGTGGGCCAAGACATCTGGTATTGTGAGGTTGTAAAGACATTTCGCCTCTCTACGGAGGATGGCTTAGTGGCCTCAGCCTCCTTGGCTGTGCATGGTGAGGATGCAGAGGCCGAGCACCTGTGGAGGACCGCTCAGGGAAGCGGCTCCACTCCTCTGCTAAGGGACCTCACAGTGATTGAGCCTCCTCGTGCATGGTGTGTGGGAGTTTGGGACCCACCTTAAGGGCTGCTGCTATTCCCTCGTCTTCTGTCTTCTCTTGAGGTGGCGGTGGGCAAGGACTAGGCTGCACGTAATAGGTCCTTCACCGTCAGGACGCAGGGTGAGAAGACAAGGACAGAAGCCAAATCTCACTGTCCTGGCACCAGGAGACGTTGTTGACACTTCATTTCCCATGATTCTGTAAACTGTGATAGAAAGCAAGTGGCTTCTCAGTCATCAAAGGACATCTGAAAACAGTGTCTGTCAACATAAGTCTTTGAAAGGTGCCGTCCTTAACGCTTGTGTGGACATTGCTCAGCGGGCCGCCACAGGGACAAGTCAAGGGCTGATGTGTTGTTGTCATGCTGCATTCGGAGCCCTGCTATATCACAGAGTCCTCAAACACAGCAGGCATTTCTTATTCCTGAGTGGGAGAAGAGCAGACCAGTCACCTTCCACATGGCTTGTGCTAAGGTACTCCACTGACTTTTGCCGCTGTTAAGGATTCTCTGAAGTTTGGCTTAAAGTATGAACTGGCTAGTAGGACGTTCTAAAATCATCAAAATTTTTTGCCAAGTACAAGTACCTTCTCTTTTCAAGAATACTTGTTTCTTAGAAAACATGGAGCATATTATTTCTCCTTTTAAGAAAATTCTTCATAAAAGGATGTCCTCCCATCTTCCAAGTTAGCAGAATTTCTTATGCAGGAAAGGATGCATTTACATATTTTGAAAACCTTTATTAAGTGTTGATTTGTGACTTGAAAGTAGCCTATTTGATTAACTCCGGGTATTATATAATTTTTCCCCTTAACAAACATGCTAGGGGCTAGGGTTGTAGCTCAGTGGCAGAGTGCTTGCCTAGCATGTGTGAGGCACTGGGTTCCATCCTCAGCATCACATATAAATAAATAAAAAATAAAGGTACATCAACAACTAAAAAGTAAAATAAAAATTAAAAAACAAAACATGCTGGATGAAAGTACATGAGCAAAATGTGTTAATGCTCCTAAGGACAAGTTTTGTCAAGGAGGAAGGACAGTGAGAGACCAGCCTTGGGGCCTCCTGTGGAAGTCAGCTTTCTTCTGACATGGGCGTCTGACCTCAAGTGAAGTGAATCTGGTGCTTTCAAGAAAATCTGGGCATAATTGACAATGAGGGGGGTAGGCTGGGCTTGGTTCATCAAGTGAGGGCTGACAAGAGCTTGTCTTCCAGTGGATCCCAAGCTCCATTTGAGATTGGAATAGCCTGGAGACCGTTTGCAAGTGCCTGTACCCTCTGGCTTGTGTTTAACTCAGCAACTTTATCCTCTCAGCAAGGTGACTTGTGGAGCACGCCTAATGCAGCAACTAAGGATGCTTTTACAAAATCAGAACACAAGTAGAAGGTAGTTGGCTTGGGGGGAAGTAGCAGTCTGTCTTTCTGGCAGTGCCATAAGTCTGTGGACAAGGCGAGTCCCGTCTGGATTGTAAGTGAATGAGGGGTGGTCCAGGAGGGAGCTCTGCTGGAGCACCTGAGGGCTGTGTCGGAGGCGGGCGCCTGTGGGGGTCTGCAGGTAGCTGCTGAGGCTCTGGCCAGCAACCCTGGAAACCACAGACTGCACACAGGTTCAGAGAGCCAGCAGCCCCAAGGACCACAGGTTCCTTTTGAGCTAAAGACAGTGAAAATGACCCCAAAATCAGATGAGCAAACTTCATGCCATGCGAGGTCATGGAGAGCTCCAGGGCAGCCGGCCAGGAGGTGGGGAGCCCTGAAGCCGACCTGCTACACTGGCTCCACCCACCGCAGCTTGACTCCGGGCCGTTCTTTCTCTCTGCATCTTTTCTGTTATCCATGCATCAGGGATGATGGTGACCACTGCCTCACAGGCATCCTGAGAATCAAAGGCCATCAGTCAAGGACCTCAAGCGATGCCTCTGAGATCGCAACTCAGTTCATGCTCACGTGGGAATCTGGTGAGTCCAGAAGTCAAACGGGAGCACAGCTGCTTTGCCCCGCCCAGTGCACATTGTGCTGTGAGACGAACTTAGAAATAAGGCCGAGCTGAGGCTGGCTACCCTCCTCCAGCCTCTCAGGCCCAAGGGGTCAGAAGCCATGGTTCTGTTTGGCCTTACTGAATTTGAGCTGCATGATCAACAGAGACTAGCCTCTTTGATATGATCACATTTTCCTCTGTGGCCATTTTCATAGATGGTTCTCATGAATATTCTGACATATCAAGTCATACAAATTCTCTATTTGAAGGATATAACTTTTACTATTTAAGAAACAATTTTTGGTGATCATATTACTTAGTTTTTCTGTGTCCTTGTTTAAAATTGTCAAATTTTAAGAGATAAATAAAAATCTTCCACAATATTTTTGTTTTAAACAGATTTTCAAAATGCAAAAAGATTTTGCTTTAGAGCTATATCGAAACTTAGGGTTGTTATATTTTCCTTGTAAATTGTGTCTTTTGCCCTTTTATCTTAATTATCACTTTGCCCAGAATCATCTTAGTTTGCAGATGCTGGTGTTGGCCCAGGTGGGTCTATGAGTGAGTCCTCCGTGGTGACCAGTCTAAGCCTTGTGCGAGTGACTTTGGCATCTTTCTGAAGCATTTTTCAGGCCTGGTACTGGAAAGTGTCATTTGTGTTGGAGGTGGGGGTCATCGTCTCCTGGGATTCCTGCTACTGTCCCTGCAGGTTCCTCCCCTGGAGCTCAGTTGTAACTCGCTCTGTGCCCGGGGGACTGAGGACACCAAGGGGTGGCTCATGGAGTTGATCTGTTGATATTTGGCATTTGGTGTTAAGAAGGTTTGAGTGTGATTCTCCCTGTTGCGGTGTTGGGCGTGCTGCTCTGCACATCCTCTGGCTATCCCGAGTAATAGGAGAGCCCTCCTCCTTGCTGCCACATGCCAGGTGGCCTGGAGCTGCCTGGAAAGGAGGCAGGCATCCTAGGCAGGAGATGGAAATGATCTTGACCTTAAACCCCCACATACTGCAGGACCTCCCTTCTGCGGCCCTCACTGTTCTTATGGGTGAGAAACAGGGTATGATGACTTTCTTTTCTCTTTCCTTAGTTTGTGTTCTGGTCTGTTTCCTTCATGTCCTCAGATTGAATCTGTGTGGGATGGCTTTTGGGTGTTGGAGGCTCCACTTCAGTCCAGAATTCAGAATGGACAGGAAGTCCATTGTCGTGCAGATCTTAAGTTCCTTCTGTCAACCCTGCTTTATTAGCAGCAAAGCTAATAACCTATAGAACTGAATCCTGTCTCTGAATTGGCTCTGAACTGAGGCCGGGGCTTACAGTGCCGATTATGCCAAGGGATAGACAAGGACCTAGTTTGCAGTGTGATTCTGAACGGAGAAGAGAGGAGGCTGGCGTGTGTTTCAGTGGTGTCGTGCGTGCCTAGGATGTGTGGCCCTGGGCTCCATCCTCAGCACACCACAGCCAGTGCACAGAAGCATGCACACACTGAAAGCTGAGGCACAGGACTGGATCTCAGCGCTGGCTTCTCAGCTTCACTGGGCTCATGCTGACCTGACCTCTGGTCGAAGCCCTGCTCTGCGTCTGTGTCATTTCAGCACAGAGCTCTCCCATAGAAACACATGGAAGCTGCAGAATGTTCGTTCAGAAGATCACCCCGGGACTGCCGTATTTATAATGTTATTTGTGGGCTGTGTGAGTTAGTATTTTCTTCTCTCTCTCTGGAAATCAAATCCCCGAAGAAGAAGGAAGGGATGACAAATTCCATTTTCCAAGAAATAGACAGATGCAGTTCGTGGACTTTGTGAGATGCGCAAGGCCTCCCACACGGCCAATACTGGTAGAAATACCATAGGCAGACTGAGCAAATGTGCTTGGGTGGCAGAGACTCAGCACCCCCTGCATGAGGAGCCCTGGGGACTGGACCCTGCCACAGTAAGAGCAGAGGCTAGTGTGAGGCTAGCTGCGAAGGGCTTCTCCAACCAGTCACATCAGAGATGGCTCCAGGGTTGTCCACCTGTGCAGCCACGCAGGAGAGAGCCTGACATAGATGCGCTTGGCAGCTGCCCTAGTTCTCCTCCTGGAGTCCCCTGCAGAACAGGGCCCAGGAAGTTCTGCCTACCCAGAAGCAGACATCAAAGAGAAGATAGCTTTTACCACATGATCATTCTCTGAAGAAAACATGGAAAGAGCAGCTAAATGAACACCAGAAAAATATATCCATGAAGCAGGGTGGATGCCATAACCACATCTCAACATGCTGGAGGACCAGAAACCGAGCAGTGAGGCAGTTCTGCAAAGGCAGGCTCAGGCCAGAAGCTGAAGAAAGATGTTAGCACAACCAAGGAGGTGAGGGGAGAGGCAGGTGAGCCTGCAGAAAAGGGTCAGAGGCACTGGGGGCTGGAGAAGCCCTGGGGTAGAGGTGGAAGCTCCGCAGACGCTCAGAACGGAGCAACATGGTGGTCTCAGGACTAAGAGGCTCAGCACAGCTGCAGAGGACACGAGGGGTGGTTGGTACCCTCACAGATCCTCAGAGAGCAGCACTGGAGGGAAGGCTTGGCCTCTTCCCCATGGCAGAGCAGACCCAGGCAGGTGGCAGGTGTGTGAGTGGCTGCTGCTCCACCCAGGTGCTGGGCCCTGAGGCAAAGCGAGGGACTTGCTGCAGGGAACCAGACCAGAGTCCTCACAGAGTGGGAAGAATGGGCCCTCAGACTGCTCCTTCTTCATTAGGCAACGGAGAAGTCCTTGCTGGATCCTCGGGACTGTGTGTCTGAACAGCATTTTGTTTGGAGGCTGCAGACAGGCAGCACTGACCACATAGAAACACAGATAATATTGTTTCCGCGTATATTTAGAAAACTGTAATTGTCACGTGATAATTGAACAAATTTGTGAGGTACAGTGTTCTGGCCACATAGCTTATAACTAGCTTGTCCATTTCCTCACACATTCATCATTTCTTTGTGGCAAGTACATTCAAGATCACTCAGCTTGTTTTGAGATCCATGGTGTTGTTGTTGAGGACATTCACCCTACTATGCTTGTCAACACCAGTGCTCCTCCTGTCCAGCTGTAGTGTGGCACAGGTCAGCCAAGCCTCTGCTAACCCTCCCAAGCTCCTGCTAACACTGTGGTACTGTCTTCTGTGAGAATAGCTGTTGAAGATTCCACATGAGAGAGACTGCGTCTGGCTTATTTCACATAACACAGTCGTTTCCATTTCTTTCGGTGTTGTCTCCAAAGGCTGCATTTGTACACTGATTTTTATCCTGCACCTTCCTGAATTTGATTATTAGTTCTAGTAGTTTTTTGGCAGTGAGATCTTGTCATCTGCCAACGGTGACAGTTTGACTTCCTCTGCTCCGATTGGGATGCCCTGGCTAGGATTTCCAGGATTGTATCGACTGACAGTGCACAGTGGGCATCTGGTCCCATCCAGACTAGAGAGTTCTCAGCTGCCCCTCCAGGATGCTGGAGGCTGGGGGCGTGTGCTGTGTGCCTTCCGTCCCTCTTGTGTCAATGGTTTTTGTCCTGAAGGATGTTGGCTTCCATCAGATGCTCTGTCCAAGCAACCCTGTGGATTTTGCCCTTGATGAGTGGTGTGCATGTTTCCTGACTGCTTCCCTGACCGTCATGGCGAGTCGTCTTGTCATGCTGCTGGCCCCGGTTGCTAGAGTTCTGTGGGCCTTTGTCCCCCAGGATGCTGGCTGGTGGTGTTCTGTTGTGTTCTAGTCTGATTTTGGCACCAGGCCATGCTGGCCTCCTAGAATGCATTAGAATAATTCCTCCCCTCCTTGGTGTAATCTGAGAAGAAGTGGAATTAGTTCTTCAAGTGCTTGGCAGAACTCAGCAGTAGAGCTGGGTAGTCCTGGACTTTTCTGGGACAGGGATTTTACTCCTTGCTCAGGCTTGTTACTCACCGTTGATCTGTACAGGTTTTCTGTTTCCTGGTGATTCAGTCTTCGTAAGTTGTGTGCTTCAGGAGTTTCCTCTAGAAGGTAGTGAAGAAGGATCTGTCTGAAATGGTCACAGCTCCTGTTTTTAGTCCAGACCTTGGCAATCAAGAGCATTTTTGAGGAAACTAACTTTAACCAATCAAGAGATGGCTAGGAAAGCAGTGGCAACAGAAGTGGACATCAGCAGTGGCCCAGTGCACTAACTGTGGCCGGGAGGTGACATGCACGGACCAGGGTGCAGGACGGAAGTGAATGTCCTAGACCCTGGCAGTGAAGAGGTGGTGCAGCTTGCAACACAAGGTGGGGAGAGGGCCACAGGGCAAGGGGGGGGGGCAAGAGAATGTCAGCTTTACCCTGAGGTTTTGGAAACCACTGAACTGAGACGTGCTGTCGAGGTTCAGGAGGGTGAGAGGACAGTGCTGGCTTAGATCACAAAAGTAGCCTCTGTGATGAATACACAAACTTCCTTAAGTTCTAAAGGGAAATGAGGACTTTCTTTAAAAGTTACCAAACAAAAATGTGTCATACAAATAAGGCCAAACCCACGTTGAATCAGTAAAGATAGGCTGATTAGGCCAGAGGTTTCCAGATGGAACCAGAAAGCAGAGCGACTCCAGGCTGTGCCAGAGCAGCACACCAAAATGCAGACTCTTGGGGGAGGGCGGTGGGCTCCAACCAGGAGGAGAGGTATGGAAGAAAAGCACATCAGCTTTGTGATGCCAGCATGGCGCGGGTGCTGTGTGAGGCCAGAGGGCAGGCAGAGGTGGATGTGTGCCCTCTTCATGCCTAGAGTGAGGCTTGCACCTTGCAGATCCCAAGTGGTCCTTACTGTGGGGCCCTCGATGTTCTGCCAGTGTTGCTGAAAGAGCTGCAGCATGGCATGGCTTCTGCCTCTCAGCTTCCAAAGGGAAGGGCCTGTTGACTTTCTGATTGTGTGGTCAGCAAACAACCGTGAGTCTGGGTGTGAAATGGACAGGCACACCCACATCCCCATCCTGTAGCCTCCTGTTGAGCACCCGCACAGGCCTGGAGGGCAGAAGGCATCCTGCACAATGGCCTTCCCGGAGTGTCCCCAGGGTGAGACAAGTGATCGCCATTTCCTATATGGATGCAGACTGCCCAGGGCTGGCCAGGAGCCTCGGTCCAGGTGTCTTCCTTCTGCACTGTGCCTTGCCACCAGGCTTGTGTTCCATGTCACATGGATTTGAAGATGCTTAGCTTTCTTTTCCCTCTCTCCTTAGCTATTGCAGCTGATTGCAAAATCCCAGTTAACTTCGTTGAGTGGTGTTGCACAGAAGAATTACTTCAACATTCTGGATAAAATTGTTCAGAAGGGTAAGACAATCACTGATGTTTCCAATAATCTGAATCCTCATTAGAAATTTAGGGCAAGAAGGGATTTTTCTTTTATCTTTCCCCAGTATTTATGTAGTGAAAAACAATAATACAGACACATGACAACGTCAGACAGGAAGGCGGGCTGTCCCTGAAGTCCCAGAGTTCTTTGGGTGCCGGTTTTCTTTCTGAAATCTCTCTTGGCACACCAGAGAACCAGTCTCTCCCAGTTCTACAGAGCCACTGTGCCTTCTCGTGGTCAGCCAGCTACACTTTACTTGGCTGAGTGGCTCCACAAACAGCAAGATGGTGGTTCATTCACTCTGGCCAATAATCACACAAGCCAATAATTCTATAATAATATTCTTTTAAATTTAATGAGCTTGCTTTTGTTATTGTAGCAGCAGTCAGTAGAGGGAAGTTTAAATTTTATACCATTAGTTTAGTGCACGTATAAAACTTAAATATTCTCTTTATGACAAGTACAAAAAAAGTGTATACTGACCATTTTAAAGGCAAAATTGTAGCTCCAGCTGAAGATTTGCTGATAAAATGTAAAATTTTTAAAAATCTCATTATACTTGAGATATCTCAAAAATGAAGCCAGTTTAGGCTGTAATAAAATTACACACTTGTTTTTTTATTGTGGTAAAATACACCTGACGTTTACCACTCTGACCATTGTTAAGTGTACAGCTCGGCAGCATTGCGTGCATCAGCACCATCCATCTCAAGAACATCTTCGCTGCCCAGTTGAATTCTGCCCCCATGGAACACCAGTTCTGGCCCCTGGCATCCACGCCCTGTGTTCTGATGTGATTCTGATTGTTGATACTTCATGGAAGTAGAAGTGCACTGTCACAACCTGCATGATGTTTACTCCGTTTCCCCAAAGTAGGGCAGTGAGTCAGATTAGAAAAACTAAAGATATGAGAAATTTAAGAAACAAAGACAAGACAGAAATAAGTGAAACAGCAGGATCCGATGGGGACCAGCTCTGATGAGACTGGATCTAACAAAGAACAAGAGTCTGCATTTTATTTTCATAGGTAGGAACATCAAAGTGTGTCAGTGTGACCAGCTTCTTGAGGAAAAGAGGATGAAGATGGGAAAAATAAGTTGTTTGGGGCTTGGCAGGTTACGCCCATCTCCTCTACCTCTGGGCAGCTGTGATTTGAAATTAAGCCTTTCTGAACTAGTGAGTTCCATGACAAACATAGAATTTCCCCTGTCAACAGGAATCAACTTGCAAATGGGCATTCTCCCGGGCACCCTTGCACTCCGAATTTCCCAAGAGCAGTGCGTGTTTCACTGTCCAGGGTCTCACATAGTTCAAAGCAATGACTTGTCACCTGCCCACGACAGTGCACCATCTTTGTCCTTGCGAGGCTTGCATTCACTCCACGCAGGGTCTTCTGGGTTCGTGCGTGTGGCGGCACCTCAGTCTTCTGCTTAAGGCTAATACTCCATCATGAGGATGGGTCAATAGACACCTGAGTGTGAGGCTAGACCAGTGTAAAGTGTGGTTCATTACATCAGCCCGTAACTTTGTTTTCCTTTTCCAGTGCTCTGTGACCACCAGAACCCTCGCCTAATCAAGAACCTCCTGCAGGACCTGAGCTCCACCCTCTGCACCCTTATTAGAGGGGTAGGGAAGTCAGTGTTGGTGGGCAACATCAACATTTGGATTTGCCGTTTAGAAACTGTCCTTAACTGGCAACAACAACTACAGAACCTTCAGATGACGAAGGTATGAGTGTCTTTCTTCTTTTAAATATTGTTTAATTGACACGTAGTAACTATATGCACTTATGTACAGAGTGGCACTTAGTGTGTACAGTGCAATGATCACAATCATGTCAGGGTGATTGGCATATCTGTCACCTCAGACAGTGCCATTTCTTTGAGTTGGGAACAGTCAAAATTCTCTGTTATCTGCTTTGAAATATTCAATTAGTTATTGTCAATCATCATTATCCTCCAGTGCCACAGAACATGAGCCATGACCCTCCCATTCAGCAACACCTGGACCTGTTACCTCCTATTCCATCCTTCTGGGCCTGACTTATTTCACTTAACATAGTATGTTCTAGTTCCATCCATTTTGCTGCAAATGACAGGATTCTGTTATCTTTGGGGCTGAATAGTGTCCCACTGTGTATATACATTTTCTTTATTCATCCGTCAGTGGGCACCAGGGTTGATACATATCACAGCTATTGCAAATGGTGCTGCAGAGGATGTGCCGGGCAGGTGTTTCCCTACCCCATGGGCTTGGGTACCTTTGCTGGTGTAGCCCGTGGTGGAGTGACTGGATCACACTGAAGACCTGTCTGAGGCTTGAGGGACCACACACTGTTCTCCATGTGGCTGTACTAACTGGCACTCTGTCAACCAGGTCTCGAGTCCTCCTTGCTCCACATCCTCCCTGGATAATAACAGCCATCAGGACTGTGGTGAGGGGTATTTCCTGAGGATCAGTGATGCTGCATGCTTTCATGCAACTGTGCCACTTCTGTGTCCTCTCTTGAGACATGCTGTTTCAGTTAGTTGCCCATTTTTAACTGGATTTTTGGAGTTTCCTGTGTGTTCCAGAAATTAACTCCTTGCGGGATGCGCAAGCTCAAGCACTTCTCCCATTCTGCATGTCTTACTTCACGGGATGGGTCGCTCCCCTGTTGTGGTCTCCCTTGCTGCGTAGAGGCTTTTTAGCCTGATCAGCTCTGATTTGCCAGTTTCTGCTTTTGTTGCCTGTGCTTTTGGAGCTAGCAGCAAGCACACTGTCTCACGAGCAAGGTGCGTCTGGAGCGCGACAGTGATAGAAGCACCAGCGGTGTGTGCTGGCTGGGCTGGGTGGGGTCTCCGGGCGGCACTGATCTGGAGCATTCGATGGCTTCTCACTGTGCTGGCTTCAGGCCACCCAGAGGTCAGCTGGTTCGTAGAACTCCTCCATGTGGCAGAACTGGCTCCGGGTGTTGTCGGACTGCAGGCTTTCCCAGCAGAGGTCTCCAAGCCCAGGGGCCGGCAGCACTGCACTAGGGGCTGTTGAGGACCTGATATTGCAGGTGCATGGGGTACTAGGGAATGGGCCTTATTGGCTCTGAAGCAGGCAAGAGGGGAGAGAACAGTACGCTGGTGCCCGGGCCTTGCCTGTGGGTGGGGTGGGAGCAGGCCAGGACCCTGAGGTGGCAGGCACTGTCCAGGCCAACTGATGTTGGTGCCAGTCCTCCATTACATAAAGGGGACTGTGACTGTAGGGCTTCCCGAGGTGGGCTTGGTGACATTCACTGCAGCCCAAGCCCATCCCTCAGCCCAAAGGCCTGCCACAGCAGTGTCCAGGAGGCCTCCCTGCCTCACTGCCAATGGCCTGCGTATTTACAGGTACAGTGGGGCCCTTAAGCTGGGCCTGGGAACAGGTGCTACGCTGCCCTTGGCCCTGAACCTCGCTGCCCCGGGAGTGGCTCTGTGGCTTTGTGCCTACTCTTCATGGCATCGGCAGTAGGACATACTCAGAAAGTGCCACTGTGTGGATCTGCTTAGACGCGCACTGCCTCCTGTGGGACTCTGCCCTGCGCTGGACAGCAGGGACGCGAATGGCTTCCACTTGAGCCACAAGCACTTGGCTCATCAGTAGCAAGGGATGCTCGCCATTCTTGGACTACAGCCAGGGTGGGGCTGCTGCCGCCACCCCTGGTCCCATCAGCTGAGAAGACAGAAACAGACCACAGGATCCTGTCCAGAATGCCAGGGCACAGTGTCCTCCTGCAGAGGATGGTGGCAGGAACACTGCACTCCCAGAAATCTAGTGATTTCCTGAACCAAACCCCAAAGTCAGTTCATCCTGCAAAACCAGATGGTCAGTGTGCACTTCTGCAGGAGTATGCGCAGTAGAGCACTGACCAGGGGGTGAGAGAGTCAGGAAGCACAACCAGAAGCTGCCGATCTGCCACAGACCCAGGCACCGTCTCAGGACACTAGGAAGAAGTGCTTCCAGGGAGGGTGTGGGAACACCGACACAGCTGGACCAAGGCCCCAAGAGCCCAGGGGGTGAGCCCAGACCCCAGTGCCAGCCTCAGTGGAGCTGAGCTGGCCCAGCACCGGGCTTCACGTTCCCCCCGGCCTCTGCCTTTCTGCATCCCCTCAAGTGCAGGCACAGCGTGCTTGTGCTCAAGCTGCATGAAGGGAGGACATGGCTTCACGTGTGTGCGTGTGTGTGTGTGTGTGTGTACTCACATAGGCTGGCAGCCAGAGGGGGCACCTTGGGCTTGTGGGGTGAGCACAGAAGTGGAGCATATGGAGGCAGATGGCTGTAGGTAACGGCAGTGTCCACTGCAGACGCACTGAGTGGACCTTGCTGTGTGGTGTCACATGCAGCCATATCACCAAACACCTATGCCTCAGACATCAGGCTGCACCCACACACAGACAACTTCTGCTTCTAGTCATATCTTAATATGGAAAAGCAGAACTTTTAAACAATAGCTAAAATAATGCTGAAGGGGCCTCTGAAGACACTGTCTCTGAAACACGTTCTGGTCACACTGACGCTTCCCCTGTTTGGAGCCCGCTTCTCCTGGGCGTGCCCTGAAACAGCCGGTGAAACTCTCAGCTCTGAACATGAGCATGGAGCCGGTGTGTGGAGTGTGTGGCCTTCTGGCAGGGCGAGTCCCTCAGGCACCAGTCCTGCCCCAGGTCGCTGTGTGGGAGCTGTGTGGTGCAGCCCACCGTCCTGGGAGGGCTGGTGCCTCCACCTTCTCAGGCATCACTGGGGTGCATCTGGGCTTTTGTGTGACCACAGCTGCTGCTGCCTCAACGAGATGCTGTCCCTGTTTCCTTCCAGCAGGTGAATGATGGCCTCACCCTCAGCGACCTGCCATTACACACGCTGAGCAACATCCTCCATCGCTTCTCAGACGGGTGGGATGTCGTCACCCTGGGCCAGGTGACGCCCACCCTGTACGTGCTCAGCGAGGACAGGCAACTGTGGAAGAAGCTGTGTCAGTACCATTTTGCTGAAAAGCAGGTGGGTGTGTGCATGACACACTTGGCTGCAGAGGCCCGTGTGCCCTGCCAGGTCTGTCCTGGCCACTAGAGAGAGGGCTGAGGCTCCAGCTCTGAGCATCAGGATGATCAGGCTGTATTTTCCACATTTAAAAAGAACCGTGATTCTGAAAACCACCCAGAAACAACTAGCACAGCCGCAGCATGTTCTCTGTCCCACTTGTTGGTGACAAGTTCCCCAGGGTCCCCTTCATCTAACGAGCTGACCTCCAGCTCTGCCTTTTACCAAGCTGTGTGTTCTGGAAAAGCCTCACAGCTCTGGGAGGCCTGGCTTCCCGTCCCCACTCACAGCTCTCTCCGGAGAGTCCCCAGGCACACACGTGTGTTCAGGGCAGCCTGCCTAGGGCCTTCCCCGTCCTTGGCCAAGTCCTGCTGGACTGCTTCAGAGCCTCTGCAGAGCTGACTCTGCACCAAGGGAGGGCAGAGGACACCCTGTGCAGCTCATCAGACATCACTCCGATTAAGTACTATGAGCACTGGGGGTGTGCAGGTGTGGGACGGAACATGCGCTCTCAGGGCCAGGCGTAGCTTAGTAACAGACCCTGAAAAACATGCAGGCATATTAGAAATGTGTGAACAGGGCGCAGGTGGGAAGCATCCTCATGGCGAAACCAACAGAAGTGAGCTTGGACCGGTCGTCTCAAGTGACCAACAGGCTTGACTTAAGCTTCTGATGTGGGCGAGGGATTCAGAGTCAGAAAACATGGGCGAGTGGGCTGCTCCCCTTGTGCGTGGGTGGGCACCGTGCTGGTAGAAGAGGGGGCCGCTGAGCCTGCTCTTATTCCAGGAGACTGGTGTTTACAGCCGGGTAGGTAAGGACCCCCCTTTACTTTTCGAGCTGCCCTGGTTCCATCTCAATGAGAAGCAGATTTCCTCACAGACTCCATCATAATTTGCAGAGTCCCCAGAAACAGGGACCCAGCTCGAGTATGGCATAAAGCATTGCTCTTAGACGCCAGGCACAGAGTGAGGGCATTGTGGTAAGCAAGGAGGGCAGGCTCTGCCAGCCGTGGCCGTGGGTGCACCTTGGGCTTCTGTGGGCACCATGGAAGAGCTTGTCTCTTTTCCCACAACCAGAAGAGTGGAGCGTTCCTTTATGATGCTGTTGCTTCGTGTGGCTGTCCCTGCCACGAGTGTGGGGACAAGCATCATCACCCCATGTCTGCTTTCTGTCCCTGGACATCCCTGTTCTGGACATCTAGCTTCTACCCTCAGCTCATGCGGTCCTACAAACCAGAGCTTCTGTCCTTCCAGGCTAAATAACATTCCACTCTGTGGACACCCCGGGTGTTTTTGTCCACTCCTCACTGGGGGACGCTGGCTTTGTGCCCACCCTGTGCTGTTACAGTTGCTCACCTCCAGGTTTGTGGACATGCTCCCCTTCTCTAAGGTGTTACCAGGAGTGGAGCTGCTGGCCAGCTGTGGCTGTGTTTGGCCTGGGGGACCGGCTAGTTGTCTCCGTACTTGACTCCCGGCAGCAGCGTTAGGGTCCCACACTTGCTGCTGTCGTGGGGTGTGAGGGGTGTTGTGCCCTATGTCCCTGGCTGGTTGGGCACCTCTTTATTTTTTCATTCTATTGCCTATTCTTACATGGGGCTGTCTTTGTATTGAGTTGTGTTCCTTATGTGTTCTGCATACAAGTCCCTTATCAGACAAATGACATGAGTTGCTTATTTTATGCATCATGGACATCATGCCAGTGCTGGGTCATCAAACCCGTCGCACAGCTGCAGTGGTATCAGTATACAGGTATCCCACCATTGACTTGTCCCTTATTGGTGTAATCCAAGTAAGTTTAATTTCAAATAATTGTTTCGTGAACTCTGCTGCCTTTTAAAAATAGCTTTACACTTTATATTGTTTTGGAAATCATTTGCCAATTCTGAACAGAATTTTGTTTGTTTAGTTTTGTAGACATTTGATTCTTTCAGAAAAAGGACATGTAGAATGGAAGTTGATGTATTTCACACTTCAGAAGTATTACCCAACCAAGGAGCAGTATGGAGACACCTTGCATTTTTGCCGGCACTGCAGCATCCTCTTCTGGAAGGTAATCATTTAAGTGTCTCCTGGAATGTGAGGGCTGTAATGCAGCAAAACAAATCGTTCACCTGTATTTTAAGTGGAAAGGTAAGAATAAAATGGAGAATGCTGTCTGTGGCATGTTTCATCAGCCCTGTTGAGTCGGCCTGTTGAAAACAGGTGCCGTGTCCTCTCCCCACGGATGTCAGTGACAGGAGAGAGAGCAGAGGTGGCTCCTGAGCATTGTTACTTATCAGCAAGGCTTTGGTGAGAAACTTAGACACATCATCTGCTCATCTACAGCATCCACTGTGTCAGAAGAGCAGAGCTGGACCCCTTCACCTGTTGCCTACTGTTGCCTTAGACTTGGTGGTGAACCTGGCATTTGATGGTGTTTGATGTTGAGGCTTCAGTGGGGAAAAGGTGTTCAAACTACGGAGGCCTGATGCTGATGGCAGTGCCAGTCCTGACCCCGCGGCCCACCCACTGCCCAGGGGCCCCTCCCAACTGTTTCCAGGCTGGGCCAGGGTTGGCCTCTCCTGGAAACAGGTGTCTGGCTCCCAATCTCCCTGAATTGAGGGCAGCTACAGATCCTGTTCTGACTGACCTTCTGTTTTGCATTTATCTACATATGTTATCAGATGGGTCATAGGCAGGCTCTAGAGTGTTTGGAGAGAGAGAGCTGCTTTCATTTCAGACTCCACTGATGATGCTCTGGCTTGTTATGGTGATCCACAGCTGAGTGGACGCTGTAAGTGGCCTGTTTCTCTCATGTTGTTTCACAGGCTTTACCTATTCCATCAGAGGTAAGCAGGCCATGCACAGGACGGCATAGCATAGGAGGTTCTGCCCCTTCAGGTTTACTGTCCTGTGTTGGAGAGGGCCTTCCCTCTTCCTCAGAATCAGGAGCCACAGCATAGCTTTGCTCCGTAATGCTGTAAAGAGCAGGGAACGTCCTGTGTCCTGATGTCCTGGGTGGTCCCAGGAGCGCACGTTGCTCTGATCCCTCCCCCCTTCTCGGGCACAGAGGCACATGCCGGTGCCCTGGCCTGAAAGGAGAGGACACGTGAAGCAGCTCTCACCTGCTTTGACTCCTTACTTGGTGGGACCCAGGCCAGGCCCAGGGGATGCTCTGAATCGCTCACACTGCTGAGAACGCAGCTCCCACCCAGTCAGAGCTGGTGAAAGACGGTACGTCTAGGTTGAACTGATGCTGATAAGGGTCGCTTATCTCTTTTCTCCCGATTTTATAGAAACGATGAAAGTAATGATAATTACATACGTGGAAATAACTCTTCGTGGTATAGAAACCTTTCAGTTTGGTGAAGACGTCAACATTCTTACAAGAATATGTAAGAATATTGGAGCTCGCCCTATCTGCTAAGTAGTTAATAAAGAAACACACACTTTCTCGTGAGTTTCTGTGGTTATGTCAGTGAAAGAGGTGCTGCTTAGGTTTCCTGAGACAGAACACTCGGCAAGGTGCCTGTGGGCTCCAGGAACAGAGCTGTGGCCAGAGCCTGAGGTGAGGCAGGCTTGACCTGTCCAGCACCCAGGTCTGGGGAGCATCTCCTATGAGCACTCTGACCAGCCGCCCCTACTCATGAGCAGGGAGAATGTGGGAACCCTCCAGATGGGCTAGGAGCGCAGGGCTGGGGCCTGTGGGGAGCAGCAGGCTTGCTGGTCCTCCTGGTAGAGGCTGAACGCACAGCTGCGAGACACTTGAAGGTCCAGATCCACACACCCATTATTTAGCATGGAGGAGTAGACCCTCGGGGAAAAGGAGGAATGAAGGACGTTCTCCAAGTGTCCCTTGCACATTGAAACACGAGCCTTGCTTTATGTTTCTCAGTGAACAGTTGTGAAGATTTAGCACAGGGGCCTTGTGAGTTCTCAGTTTGAGAGAATTAAAAGGAAATGGAGTATCTTTGTCCCAAGACTATCTTCAGTTGTATGGGGTTCGGGGTGTCTGGCGGTTCCTGTCTTTTCGTACTTTGCATTGCCCTAGTTACCGTTCTTTATTTTCATGAGTAATCTGCATAGTCCTGAATGACCATGCGCAGCTCTTCCTAACCCATCTTTCCTTCTCCCCTCTGCTGCCTCCCGCGGGCTTTTCTGCGTGCTAAGGACTACCACCTCGCTTGGCTCCTGAAGGTACTGCCTGTCTGCCCTGTGCTGCTCGTGCCTGCTCCTCGCCCTGCCTGGCAGCAGCCTGGCTCAGGTTCCGGCTCTCAGGAAAACTGGAGACCATCCATAAAAACACTCAGTTCCGGGGCCGGAGAGCCCAGTGCTGCCCCACGCGGCCTTGCCAAGAGGGCGTCTGCTTCTTCACAGGCTCGCTTTTCTTCTCTCACTTCTGAACTACAGTTCTGTCTCCTTGGCCGTGGGCAGCACCGGGCAGCACACCCTGGGTTCTCCCCATCCTTCCTGAACAAGGGCTCCAGGTGGGCAGAGGCCAGCCACTCCCCTGGCCTGTGCCCAGTAGAGGGATCCCAACAGCAAGGTCTGCATGGGCCAGGAGGAGGTGGGAGGGAGTGGGCAGGGAGACCAGCAGCCCCTGCACTGGCAGCTCCTCACACTCAGGACAGCACTGGTGTCCTGCTCCACTGCAGGCCTCAGGAATCCACCAAGGAGGTACCATGGCACCATTGGGTGAGGTCGGGGTCCCCTTTGCCAAGTGCTGGTGTCTTCTCTGCAGCTGTGACTGACGGTGGTAGTGGCAAGTTCCTAACCCAGCTCCCCTCCCCACAGGACTCAGGTCACCCCTGCACTGCGGCTGACCCCGACAGCTGCTTCACGCCCGTGTCCCCACAGCACTTCATCGATCTCTTCAAATTCTAAAGGCAGCCCTCACCCTGCTGTGGCCGTCAGATGTGAACACCGCGCATTCTGTGCTTACTTGGTGGAAAGTGTTCTCGTGACCAAAAGCCATGATGGTTCTGCTACTGGCAGTATCTGGAGGCCCACACTTCTGGAAAGAACTGGAAAGAACATGAAAAACTGCCACTCTGGGCTGTGCGGCAGGAATGATTGTTGTACATTTCTGTCTTTGAAGGAGTCAGGAGACCCAAGAAAATCATTTCTGTTCTTCCTTTTAAACTTCTTTTCTTCTAAGCATCTTAAAATTTGCAATTTTGTATATTTATAAATCAGATCAAAAAAGATTTTTGGTTTTAAACTCTACATTCTGTGCTAAATAGATACGAATGACCAAGAATATGCTTCTGGGGTGTCAGGTGACAGTTCTCCATGGACATCTTCCACCCCACAGGGGAAGAGGGGAGAACACTGATCCTTGTAAATACATTATAAGAAAAATAAATAATCACACACAGTTACTTTCACAAAAGCATTGGCAATGTCAGGTAAGGCCTCCAATATCAGAGGGACCCAGGGAAGCACTGAGCATGTTCCATCAGCCGGGCGGTGATTGTGCAGACTGTCCCTAGCCTTGCTGGGGGACCCAAGCCCAGGAGAAGGCCTCTGCCGAGAAGGGCAGCCAGCACAATGTGAAGACGGCTGCCACAGGCAGCAGAGTGGCCCTCGTGTGTGCTGAGGTGGCTTTGCCAGTGTGCATCCTACTGAAGACGATGTCAATTGATGTCATTCATATCAGTCTAAAGAGTTTTATTTTAAAATAAAGTATGTCCATTTTAGGAAATTTTGAAAATGAAGGTATGTAAAAAAACAAATAAATGTCACCCCTGATTCCATAATGCAAATACAAGTAAGTGACCCTCAGCAGCTGCTGTGTGGAACTGCACCACTGTTCACTCATCTCTGTATGGGGTGAGAGACCTTGGCAAATCATTTCTTTAAAATGTCCTTTCCCCTGGACACAGTTGCACACACCTGCAATCCCAGCTACTCAGGAGCCTGAGTAGGAGGATCGTAAGTTCAAGGCCAGCCTGGGCAACTCAGCAAGAGCCCACCTCAAAATATTAGGGAAATAGCTCAGTGGTACAGCACTTGCCTAGCATGCATGAGGCCCTGCATTCGATCCCCAGCACCTCAAAAACAACCAAAAGTAAATAAATAAAATAAACAAAAGACGAAGCATGTTAAAATTTGTGAATAGGCATAACATATTTTGGATCTTCGGTCCTTCATTCTGTGCTGAGCTGACATAAAAGCTCAAGAACAGTTTCCTGACGTCAGATGACAGGTTCCCTCCAGATGGATGCAGACCCTCAGCCCCTGTGTGTAGACCCAGAGGAGAGCTTTTCATGGAATCATAAACACCCTGTCTGCTGTGACCAGAAGCCTCCTCCTGTGTCATTCGAAGCCCTGGCTGCTGTGAAGGTCAGCAGTGGGTAGCCTCTGACCCTGCGTGGGGCTCTGCATGGGGCAATCCACAGCAGGACCAAGGTGAGCAGCGGAGACATGCTGGGCTGAGGTTGGCACTGTGTTCGCTGTGTGTTCTCTCTTGGGTGTTGTCTTGTTCGTATTGGTTTTTCTTGAAAGGTTAATCGTTACAGTGCTGTTCAGCTGTGCTGAGGAACCACATACATCTGCATTTAACTTGCATGAATTGAGCAGTTTCTCTCAGAGAAAAGTGTACCCAGCTCATCCTGGGTCAGGAGAGGCCGCCCTGGCATATGCGTAGAACCCCCAGGTCACAGGCATCGGGAAGCTTACAGGTGGTGGCAAGCCGCTCCTCAGGGTTCACTCTGTAGGCGACTCTGATGTCAGTCACCAACCGTAGAGTGCAGTAAAAGATTCATGGAACTTAACCAGACCTTCATCTTCTCAGTGAAGACTATCCCCGTTAAACAGTAACTCCCTGCTCACTCCGCCAGCCCCTGACAGGCCTCTACTGTGAATGTGACGACTCTAGTACCCCCTGTGTGTGGGACCGGCTTGTGTTCTCCAGGCCCATCCATGCTTTGGCGAATCAGGCCTCCCCCCCCCCTTTTTTTGGTACCGCCAGGGATTGAACTCAGGGGTGCTCAACCACTAAGCCACATCCCCAGCTCTCTTTATTTTCCATTTTATTTAGAAACAAGCGAGTCTCACTAAATTGCTGAGGCTGGCTTTGAACTCGCCATCCTCCTGCCTCAGCCTCCTGAGCTACTGAGATTACAGGTGTGCACCACCACACCCAGCTTCCTTTCATTTTTAAGGTCGAGTTAAATGCCACTGTGTGGCCGTCCCATGTCCTGTCCATTCTTTCATTCAAAGTGGACACTCGGGCTGCTTCCATCTCTTGGCTTCTGAGAACATGGCGTCTAGGTCTCTCTTCAAGACTCTGCTTTGGCTTCTTGTGGGCACATACTCTAAGTGAGGTGGCCACCTCACCTGCTATTTTCGTCACTGAGACCAAAATACCTGCCAAGAACAGCCTAGAGGAGGAGGGATTCTTTGGGGCTTGCAGTTTCAGAGGGTCAGTCCATCAGTGACAACTCCCTTGCTCTGGGCCCTAGGTGAGGAAGGGCCACTCGGCTCCCGGCAGCCTGGAAGCCGGGAGAGGCAGCAGGGAGAAGCTGCAAGGAAGACACAGGCAGGGACACCTCTCCTAGCCACGCCCACCACATTCAAACGAGGATGGACTGAGGGGTCGCAGCCTCAGCATCATCACCATCAACCATTCCACCCCTCATATCCCTGCACCAACAGGAGCTTTGGGGGACACCTCACATCCAAGCCAGGACACATGGCGATTCTTTGTGCAGCAGTGGCCATCGATCCCAGCAGGGCTGCACCTCTGGGCTGCACCCTCAGGCCTTCTTTAAAGTGAAGTTCCATGTGAACCTCACTACGGGTTTTTCTATTTTTGCAAAACGTACCATGGCCTGTGGTCAGGAAGGCTTTAAACCTGAAGATCATGTGGAGAGTATGGACTTCTTAACAGTGTTCTCGCAATCCATGAACAGGACGTGTTTCCATTTTGTGTGTGTGTGTGTCTTATTTAATTCCTCTCATCAGTGTTTTGTAGTTTTTAATTGTTGATAGACCTTACTTTACTAGTTTGTTTATATGTGGTGCTGAGAATCGCACCCAGTGCCTCACATCTGCCAGACAAGCGCTCTACCACTGAGCCACAAACCTAGCCTATATTTTTGTAGTTTGACAAATCTTTCACCTCCTTGGTTTAAGTTTATTACCAAGTATTTCATTCTTTTTGTTACTAGTATAAATGGAATTTTCGTAATTTCCTTTTGGATTTCTTATTGAATTTTTGCATGTTGATTTTTTTAATCCTTTAACTTTACTGAATTCGTTTATTCATTTTTTATGTGTATGGAGTCTTTGAGGTTTTCCTCCTAGATGTCTACAGATCATGTTCTCTGTAGACAGAAGCGTCTTCCTTTTGCTGCCCTCGTTTCTCTGGCTGGGGCTTCAGTGCTGTGTGGAGTGGAGCCAGTGAGAGTGGCACCTTGCCTCACTCCTCCCGTGGCAGGTGACGTGTGGCTTTGCCTGTGACCCTGTCGGGTGTGCTCATTTTCTTCTGCTCCTCATCTGGGCGTTCTCACATGAAAGGGTGTGGGGACTCTACCGAGATGGCCGCTGATGCTTTTCTGCTCGTGTGGAGCAGATGTTGCGGGGTGGAGGGAGGGGTGCACAGCTCACCTGTCCATGCGCCCCAGGGCAAAGCTCACCTGGCGGTGATGTGCCATCCTTTCCATGTGCTGTGGAATTCTGTTGGCTTGTATTCCATCAAATATTGACATAAAAATGTTTACCACGGCTACTGTCCACTTTCTTGGAGTGTCTTTGTCTGGTATGAGTATCAGAGCAATGCTAGCCTCAGCAGGCATTTGGAGGTGTTCTCTGTGCGTGTTTGGACATCTGAGAAGGACGGGCAGATTCTCCAGTGCAGCCACCGGGCCTGGGCGTGTCTTGCTGGTCAGCTGCTGTGTGACTGCCCACCCAGGGCTGTGGGCCACTGGGGCTCTTGTGTGCTCATGGTTGAGTCACGTGAGTGGGCGGTGGAAGCGCCGGGTGGCCCAGGCGCTCTGAGTGCCTTGGACCCTGCTTCTCCTCCCAGGTCTGCAGACTGCCCCCGACTGCCTCTGTTCTGCTACTTGTCTACTCACTCTGCATGGCACTCAGGCCTCATCTTCATCGTTTCCTGCGCTCTGTTGGCTTTGGGTTTCTTCCTGCTTCTTTAGGGTGTAAATGTAGGTTGCTGATTTGAAAGCATCTTTTTAGGCATGTTTCCAGCCATAAATTTCCCTCCTGCCACTGCTGTCACTGCAGACTTAACTGTTTGCATGCTGTGTGTTAGTTCTCATGTGTTGTCCAATCTCCACTGTGGCTTCTTCTCTGGTTGTCTGTTTACGAGCATGTCGTTTAATTTCTACACATTTGTGAACTTCTCACTTTTCTTTCTGCTGTGGATTCCTAGGTTCATCCCACTGTGACCAGAATACTTTTTATCATTTCAGTCTTTTATGGGCTCACGTATTGTATGTCCTGGAGACTGTCCCATGTGCCTGTGTCAGGCCCCGGGGCATGGCGTCACATGCCACTTGCTGCCTCTGGTGTGTCCCACAAGGGCGGGTGCTGAGGGTCTCCCTCGCCCAGGAGCGCCCTTTTTGGTCCTTTGGTCGTGCTGCGTTTGCTCGTGCATTTGGAGTTTGGTGCTTGGTGCATTAGTTTGTTCATGGTCTTAGTGAGTTTTCCCACAACATGAAGATAAGACTGTCCCTAAGATGTCGGGGTGTCACTTCAACGTGATTCTAACAAAACTGGTCAGGAACTGTCACCCGGGCCCGAGGGTGGGCACTCACAGTTCACACCAGGGGTCTGAACACTTTCTGCAGAGAGGCAGACAGTAGATACTTGGCAGCCGTGTGGTCCCTCCATGGCTGCTGGACTGCTTGGTGGAACAGCCAGCCAGTCCACACACGTCACAGACACTGACTCGTGAATGTCATGCTGTTTTCCTCACTATTTCAAAATGTAAGAACTTCTCTCATGGGCTGTGCAAAACCAGATTTGGCCAGCAGGCTGTGGTTTGCAGGCCTCGACCTTGTATGATCTCTTCTTTGTGTATGTTTGACATTTTTCATTTAAAAAGTCTGTTTTTTGATGGCAAAAATATGTTCACTGTAGAAAATTCTTTTAGAAAGTCAAAACACAAAAGTATTTAAAATGTTACCCATAATTCTACTTCAGAGTAGTTATTAACAGTTTGATGTAGCTTTCCAATATTTTCTCTGATGTTGCTTTTGAAGATTCATAACTTGTTCCCTGTGAAAAGTGAAAACAGGTACATGGGAGGCTGCACCATTCTCCCTGCTGCTCAGAACCAAATACCTGGGCTCCTAGGAAGAAGTAGCCCAGCACAGATCCCAGCTGGGCTCCCCCAGAACTGGGTGCTGAGCTGTGGAAACCCCTT